GTGGTCAAAGAGTTAAATGGAAACCCGTAACACCTAAATCGTTTTGAAAAGAAAGAAAATAAGTTGACTGTTGGTCAACCGTCTAAAGAACCGAATGTAAAGTTGAATTGATTTTTATTAAAAGGATAAACATATGCACGATCTTAATTGTTGAATTATTATGTTTATTCTTGTGCTACAATGGAGTACCACTCAGCGTCAATGCTGAGCGGATAGCGTTGTTTTCCTTTTTGCTATCCGTAGGTGATCAGACAGATGAACCTAGAGCCGATCCCAGAAGGCATTGAGGAGGAGATGTATGATGGCGTGGCTGTCTCTTTAATCTGCTGATATGCTTTATTTAATTAACTTTAATGCTTATTACGTTTTCGGGCAAGATCCCAAGTTGTTTGACTTTAAAAAGGCTTCCGCATTATTTTAAATTACTCCGATGAATTTTTATATGTATTGATAGAGCGTTTGTTTAAAATTGTTTTGAAAATGTTGCAAATTCGGATACCAATTCAGTGACACATCGGTCCGCTGTCTCACGGGTTTGGGTCATGCGGGTTGGGGTGTTACATTTTGGTATCGGAGCATTTGGTTTTAAAATCGGTCTTTGGACCCTTTCAAAAAAAAATAATGCAATGAATAATTCAGCCGCATCTGCATCTCACGTAACTCCTCTGCCCCGGGAAGGTAATAAGTATTTATAGCTTTATCTGTTAGTGTTAAGATCTGACGTGAGAATTTCCTTATTATTTTAGAATGAGTCAAGAATCGACCCACGGTCAGTACGTTCCGGAGCCGGAGCACGTGAGCGTGCACACGGCAAACACTGAGGGTTCGAGTTTCACGCCTCCGGGTGACGGAGGGCAACCGCAGAATCAACCTGCGCCAGCGGGACAGCCACCAGTTGTACCACCGCCAGTCGTACCACCGCCAGTGATGCCACCGTTGGCGATACCACCGGTGGCCTACGAGCAGATGTTCCCGGCCATGATGGCCCATTATATGCAGCACATGGCGCAGTTTATGCCCATGTTCCAGCCACCGCCACCACCACAGCCGCAGCCGCGCATCGTTACCTTCAAGATGTTGAAGGATAATGGAGCGGAAGAGTTCCGAGGAGACAATATGGGGGAGCCCCAGATTGCTTTGGATTGGCTTGAGCAGATGGACCGGGTACTCAAGAATTTGAGAGTCCCAGATGCTGATCGCTCGGAGTTGGCGTCACAGATGTTCCGGAAGGGAGCATATGATTGGTGGAAGCGCATTGACCAGGATCCACACAC